AGTTTCCTGGAGTCTGAGAATGACACGATTAAATTTGTCAATCCAGTGACTGGGAAGACTGGGTTGAAACCCCACTCCGTACCCGGTCATGGCGTACCTGTTTCCTACAGTAACCAACCGACATTGTGGGTCACGTGAGGCGTAGTACTCTAAAACTGATGAGTCGTAGATGAAAGCTTGTATCTTTCTGAAAATTTCCAAAGTTGTACTTAAGTCAGAAGTAGTAGCAGTGGTGGTGGTAGTAGTGGTGGTAGTAGTAGTAATGGTAGAAGTAGTGGTAGTGATAGTGGCAGCAGCAGTAGTAGTAGTAAAAGATAAGAAGGTCTTTGAGAAGAACTAACATTGCTCAATACATTCCCATAAATGCACTGTCCTCATCTGCAGCATCAGTGAAGAGTTAAAATTTTGATAGTGCCAGTAACAGCTTTATTATATGTGAGCCTTGTCTTTCTCCTGAGTATAGAGTGTCGACCAGACCCCAGGTAACTCCTAGCTGTACCATTCTTCCCCCTGAGTATAGAGTGTCGACCAGACCCCAGGTCACTCCTAGTTGTACCATTCTCTCCCCTGAGTATAGAGTGTCGACCAGACCCCCAGGTCACTCCTAGTTGTACCATTCTCTCCCCTGAGTACAGAGTGTCGACCAGACCCCCAGGTCACTCCTAGTTGTACCATAGTGTCGACAAGACCCCCAGGTCACTCCTGGCTGTACCATTCTCTCCCCTGAGTACAGAGTGTCGACCAGACCCCCAGGTCACTCCTAGTTGTACCATAGTGTCGACAAGACCCCCAGGTCACTCCTGGCTGTACCATTCTCTCCAGTCTGTAGTTATCTTTGTGCCTCTGCAGTTCCCACTTGCTGCCAAAAAGCACTGAACTCATCTAACTTGTCATGAATTAATTCACCACCAGCCAATGGTGCAGAACCACCCAATGGTGCTTGCTATTTACAGGATTATTTATTATTACCATATTTATTCAATATTTCGATTTGAACAGTAAAACTGTAATAAAATGCATAAACCTTTTCTGAAAAATGGATACTTATAAATCAACAGTTCATGAGAAATATGATGAACAACAGAATTGGACTCTCAGACTGGTGGTATGTGAGACAGAAGGTTTTGGACAGACTTCTCCAAAGCCACTCTATAGTCTACCAGACTGTCAGAATACTAGATGAACAGACATGAGAACTTAGATTCAGACCACGCAAACTTTACATAAGGCAGTACACCACAGTTTTTTTTTACTAAGAACAGTGCACTACAGACTTGATGCACACACATGCACAGAATGAAGGCTCGACAATCTGCCTGTTTTCCCTGCCAAACTGTACTCCAAACACCTGAGCACATCCTGCAGAACCGCCAGAGTGAAAAAGCCTCCAGGACAAACTTTGGAGAATCCTCGGAGACTTGCTGCTAATGTGCCGCGGGTCGGACCAATGTACTAGGATGGGGCTATTCAACTGGCGGCCCGTAGGTCAGATCTGGCATGCAAAAGCCTAGCAAGTGGCCCACTGATCACCTGCCAATTGTATTGTATTAGTGTTCGTCTGGGGTTCAGTTCTCTGGTCTGCGATAATCCTCATGTTCCAACATTTTGACCCCACGACAAACTTAGTTCAATGGTCCTGTACTAGGATGTCAACATGTAACAATTACACATCTGATTCTCATTAGAAGTATAGGTAAAGAACCTTTTATCCACACCTTCAGGTTTATTGGGCACATAGGGTTAGACCTATATTGTATAGAACAATCGCCATTTGATGGATAATGTGGTTCAGCATCACACCGGACGCCTTTACTTCACAGGACTTTACCTGCTGTACATTTCAGGCTGGGCCAACTTGAGAAAAAAAATCTTTTTTTTTAATCCATCACCATCCGGATTCGAACCCACAACATTCAGATCTATCGGTGAGTTTCTAGCTGTTATGCCAAGGTTGGGCCCTTCTGACTCTTACTGAGATGTGTAATCTTATGGGAAACAGGTTGTATAGTGGTGTGATTCTCGCTTGGGCTGCGAGAGGTCCCAGGTTCAGATCCCAGATGGGCCCCACCTTTCCTGTCAACCAATATGTCTAGGGTTTGAATCTTTGGCTGCCCTACAGCCCAATGACAGATAAACTCTGCTAATGAACACACCCAAGCCAACCACTGGTTGAACACACACACAATCTTTATTATCTAAGAATACCAACTCATGGAGGTCTGTGCTCCTTATTCTGAAACCAGGCCGCTTCTAACTTTAAAATTGCTAGACGCGCCTTTTCACTTTTAATCTTTTGATCTCCTACCCCACTCCCACACAGTGCTAACTCAACTCGCTGTCTCCCGATGCCAAGAATGTTATGGCACACACTGAGTGCGGGCCGGAGGTGTGACGGCAGAAGCTAACACAACAAACAATGCATGGCCTTGTTTCCCATAATGAGGTATCACTACTAAAAGAGTCTGCTATCATAAATCTAACCGCAAATGAAATCTACATGAAACAATTCCTACCTACACGGTAAAGTATTAACCACATTTAGTCAAACCCCGGACTGTACGAATCACAGCTAACATCTAACACACGCCACATTTCTACCGTCGTTACGATTTGTCAATGAACAATTAAAATATAACGATCTGGTCAAACAACATCCAAGTCATACAGATTTCCTGCCAAGAATCCCTGATCTGTCCTTTGTCCAGTCGTTTTGTTGACCTCCCAAAGTTTAGTGTTAAGTCGACCCTTCGTGAAGCCCGCTGACACTCGGCAAGCCTCATTCAGCTAACATAGATTTATCCATGTATCAGTTGGTCTGCATTGGCCCTGAGTTTAGTTGGGAGTCACTTTCCACAGCCTTGATGATTTATCATCATCACCCTGTACTTTCCCATACCTGGGACGACCCCTGACACTGTATAATAAGCAGTTTAAGAAGGACCTTTTTTTTTGGGCCCCTGGTACATCTGCTTATGGTACTAAATATACATAATTTTTTAAGATCAGCTGGCATTAAGTTGTGAGGTGACCAACATAGCTTTCAGTACCAAAATCCAACAATGATGCATAGATTTTAATTCACTCAAAACAAAGGAAATCCCAGTGTTCTCAGGAAAGTCTAATATTCTAGGGGTGTTATGAGTTGGGGTTAGGGTTACAGTTAGGATCTTTGTCAGCCCTGACGGCCTCAGAGACACAGACTAACCATAACTCTAACCATAACTCTAATCCTAATGCCAACCCAAAACATCCCTAGAATACTGGACTTTTCTGGAAACTTTAGAACTGTTTCCTTTGTTTGGGGTGAACAACAGTTCACACAATTGCAATGTTTCATTCCAAGTTAAAATTTGCTTGAACTCACCCAGTTTTCAAGGCCGCTATGCCGGCGTCAACATCAGGCTGGTTGTATGGTTTCATGTAGTTGTACATGTCCTTGTGGTTCGCTCGGATGTTAGCCTCCGTGCTTCCATTGGGAACAGTTGCATATTTGAAAGGGGGGTTCATTGTATATGGGTTCTGAAGCTGCAATAGAAAACAATGTCTCTAAAAATGTATGTACAGTTTGATCTTTTAGAAATATATGACTATTAATATATTTTCTAGTTATTTTTTAAAGCTAAAGATTTATGTAATCAGAAGGATGAGACTATAAATTAAAGATTTATGTGGTGAAATAACAGTCTAATATGCAGGGTATGTATATTTCGATTTGTTATAAATACATGATTGTTAACAGGCAGCAAGGAACAACCAACTGCACACAAAAAAGCCAGTAAAATGGTTGTACACACAAAACTCAGACTCTAGCACAAAGCCAAAGTCCAAATGGACGACCAACCAAGACTGTGTGCCAGAGATTACAGCCAGTGAAAAAAAGAAGAAGAATTACACATTTTGGTTATTTTTTAAGTTGAAGAAGATTTGTGTAACCAGAAGGATAACAATGTAAATCAAAGACTTCCGTGGTGAAATAAGTAGTGTAACAAAAGGCAAAATGATTTCTGTATTTTAGGTAAAGAAGGAAAAAAGACGCAGTATTAGATATGTTAAATCTTAAGAATGTTTCTGTAGACAGCCTTGAAACAACTCTGTCAGGATAACAGACACCAGATTTATTGTAATATATCTGCACAGGACTCAGCAAACAAACAAATAAAAGTCTGTAAATGAAAATTCCGTAAATTAGAAAGTCCCTTATTCGAAAGTTTAACAAATAAACAAATCTGAACCAAAAAAAGTGTTTACATCTAGTATTGAACTAACTGCAAATAAAGCAAAGTGAGAATTCTGTAAATCAAAAATTGGGTGAAAACAAAACTCGCCATGTAGTCATTAAAAGCTCAGGGTAGAAGAAAAACTCACACAATAGCAATGCCTAGATCATGCTACAAACATAATTTACTTGAAATCAGTTATAACTTATATATTCAAAGAGATGCTAAGAATGTAACTTATAACTCTGAGTCATTTATAATCCAGGACCTAAAAAAAACTCACTTCATATTACTGGTAATTTATAACTGCTGATCTGATACATACACAGTTCACCCTGTTCTAATTTATAATTCACATAAATAGAGGGGAACCCTATAAAAACATAATACAGACAGATAACGTATTGATCGACACTCATAGAAAAAAGTAGAAAGATAGACAGACACATTACACCGGAAGCAACAAGAACTCACCCGATGGTCTTTGATGCCAGATAGGTCATAAAACTCCTCTTTGGTGATCATGAAAGCAGCCAGGTTGGCCGTATAGGATGCCAGGAAGACGAGCGCAAAGAGGGCCCAGATGTTGGCCAGGAAGCGACTGGCGATTCCCTTGGGCGAGTTGGTTGGCACGGAGGTGCTAAACAGCATGGACCAGATCAACCAAAATGACCGGAACAGAGAAAACCTGTGTTCTGAAACGATCAAAGTGAGGTTATCCATTGGAAGTGTTTTTCATTGAGCATACCTCTAGGTATGCAAAACAAAACATACACGTTAAGATTGTGACACATGGCACCATCACCATTATCATCACTGTCCCATAACACCAGCGGCAAGGCATGTATGTCACGGATGTAATCACCGCTTGCACTTCCACTGCCAAAGAAAGATTATCCTATTGTTTACTATTCTTCTTTCTTCTTTTGTCAAAATCTGCTTGTGCCACTAGGCGTCGCAGTCTATCAGATGATTTGCAACCGAGCCAGGGCGCGCTCAGTCGCTTCATATGCCGTGATGTAATGAAGTCTCAAGTTGTCCGTGACTCCTTCAATCCATCTTCTTCTTGGTCTTCCCCTGCCTCTTGTTGTTTCGATTTTCATGTTGTATGCTCTTGATGCTGGCATCGTTGGTTCCATTCTCATTAGGTGACCAAACCATTTCATTCTTTGCTTCTCAATAAATTTAACGATGGGTATGGTTCCAATAGTTCTTGTAATCACATCGTTTCTCACTCGATCTCTTCTGGTTTTATTCGCAGCCATTCTCAAACATCTCATTTCACAGGTGGTTAGTTTTGTTTACTATTACTGCTTACATTTTAATGACCAATAAGCCACTTGGTTTACGTCTCGATTATAGGGGAAAGTACACTCACTGTATGCTTATGCTTCACCTGCAAACTGTAGCGTGGGAAAGCTACCAGTTACTACCAATACTACAATGCTGTGCATGCATATTCTTAACAGCCAAGCGACGAGAAAGCAAATACCACATGATACTATTGCCAGTGTAATCGTTACCTGCTAACCCTTACACATATGAATGGATCACCCTTTGCCACTGCATAACACTGCATGGCCTTGGGTCAACAGTTGCTGTTGACTGACCAGTTCCCTTGACTTCTGTCCATCAGGTGCAATGGACTTGATGTTTGCATGTTAGAGGCCTATCCAGTCAGCAAAATTCTATAACCAGGTCTTCCGTGGTCTGTCTCTGCTGCTCTCCCTCTCTTCAGTCTTGCAGTATTGTTATGGGGAGGCCGTAGATGTTGTTACATGTCTGTACCATTGCATTTTCACTGTTGTTAACAGAGCTTTATAGTTGTCAATGTGTTGAGCAATGATACAGGAAACTTCATCACTCGTGATGTGTTATCCGTATTATATACCCAGGATCTTTTGAAATGACATTTCCAATGTTTGTATGAATGAACATACATTACAGCGAAAATACAGGACAACAACCTAAAAATCAGATGCAAAGTAATAAGTTAAGGCTGTGATATTGGGAAAAAAAAAAAATTTGAAACTGTACCAGGAAGTTGCAAAATTGAACAAACACTGAAAAGACACAAAACAATGCAATAAAACACATGACACTGCTGACTTATAGAAAACAAGTATAGTAAAAACCATTTTTCAACATATAGCACAATCCCTTTGCCAGTCCTTTAACTCTTTCACCATCAATCAGGTTACTGTATATTTCTTTGTTATTCCAAAATAAGATGATATTCTTGCAGTATTCTTTTACACACACAGATATGTTATGTTAATCCTCTGTATTCTTTTACACACACACATGTGTTATGTTAACCCTCTGTATTCTTTTACACACACACATGTTATGTTAACCCTCTGTATTCTTTTACACACACACATATGTTATGTTAACCCTCTGTATTCTTTTACACACACACATATGTTATGTTAACCCTCTGTATTCTTTTATACACACACATATGTTATGTTAACCCTCTGTATTCTTTTACACACACACATATGTTATGTTAACCCTCTGTATTCTTTTACACACACACATGTTATGTTAACCCTCTGTATTCTTTTACACACACACATATACGTTATGTTAACCCTCTGTATTCTTTTACACACACACATATGTTATGTTAACCCTCTGTATTCTTTTGCACACACACATATACGTTATGTTAACCCTCTGTATTCTTTTACACACACATATATGTTATGTTAACCCTCTGTATTCTTTTACACACACACATACGTTATGTTAACCCTCTGTATTCTTTTCTTCTTCCTAGGATTCACTGACGTTACAGCCCGGTGAATAGTTCCGGTTATCTGTCCACTTCTTGACTTTGGTCTCATTCTAGAACTTGAGTTTTGTGTGCACATCTGTTTTCCAGATCTGGCTTATCTGTATATAGACAGTTGGCTCCTCGCCTTTGATGCCGAAGCACTCTGACTTCTTCAATCTTGAAGAAAAAATATCTGACAATATGGATTTGAACATAAGTCCTTCAAACTGGCAGGTGGATGGGTAGCCTATAGGTTACCATATCTCAAGGAACATTATGGTCACTTATCTCATATGTAACTTCCTAATAGGTTGGGTAGACACTCTTGGAGGCCAGATCACATCAAAATGAAAATATCTGGAAAGATGGGGGGGGGGGGGGGGAGTGGGGGGGGGGGGTTTAACTTTCTTTCAATCAATGGATTAAAAAAAGTGCTCTCTGCATTGCAAGGTAATTAATGAAGAATATTCTATGCAATCTTTTTTGTTAACTGAGGCAAGAAAGAGTATTCTGAAGAGATGTATGAATCCTATCCTGATATAATGCTGTGAATCATGGAGAATTGGTCTAATTTTTAAGAATTATTTGGAAGCTGCAGAGATGTGGTTTTATAGACGGATGATGAGAATACCCTGAGATACCCTGAAAAGAGATGATATCTTGAAAGAAACTGACTGATGAAGAGAAATGATGCCCACATCAGAAAGAGAACGTCTACATTCTTTGGTCATGTCATGAGAAGGAAAATATTGGAGTACGTCGTGACGGCAGCAAAGTTGGAGGGAAGGAGGGGGAGAGGAAGACCACGAGAACAGATGCTGGACAGTCTGATAGCGTGGCATAAGGGACCATCTGTGTCAGAGGTGACTAAAAGTACACAAGAAAGAAGGTTGTCGATAGACATGACTACCAACGCCACCATACATTATGGACTTAAGAATAATGCCAGGAACTATTTATTACACTAGCGAAGCGGAGCACATATTAATTAATGTAACTAAATAACTAAAACAAATCCCCTTGTTTATGTTGATCCCCCCCCCCCCCCCCCCCCCCCACCAACCCCCACCCCTCCCCAAATGCAGGGGACATAACGACTGGGCCTCACTCCTTGTTTTACCTCAGTTACCTCGCTTTGGAGTTTGTCCCATGTTGAGGCCGTAAGGACTCAGCCACTCAAAGATGAGAATGGAGGCTCCGGTTGCGTGGACGCTGAAGATGAGGATGAAGGACCAAGAGGCGTAGTCGTAGGGCTCTGTGGACAACAGACAAACACGGTTTGTTTCCTACATTTTACCGTGTACCATATTATGTGTTTATTCTCCACCGGTCTCTATCTCTCTCATCCCCCCCCCCCCTGTTTTCGCTTTCTATCTCTTGTTCTGTGTGTATATGTGTTTGCGCGCGTATGCTAATATGTGTGTAGTTCCTTTTTCCCTCACTCTTAATCCTCCATCTTATACTATAATCGCTTCCTTCTCCACTAGCTTCCATGCCTGCAGATATTTCTGTCCGGCCGTTCGTCCGTATCTCCTTCATTCCATCCATTCATCCGTCCGTCAGTCGGCCCATCTGTCTGTCTAACTGCATGCCTGTCTGTCTGTGTCTATGTGTACCTGTTGTAAATGTGGTTTTTTTAAATTGTCTGAATGTGTGTTAAGTCTATGTATCTGTGTGTGTTGTGTCTGTGTATGTGTGTCAAGTCTATGTATCTGTGTGTGTTGTGTCTGTGTATGTGTGTCAAGTCTATGTATCTGTGTGTGTTGTGTCTGTGTATGTATGTCAATCTATGTATCTGTGTGTGTTGTGTCTGTGTGTATGTATTATGACGATGGGAGTACGTATGCCTGTTTGTGACGCCTGATAGGAGTTGTCGGGAGCAGAATCCAGCTGCTGTCAAGGCCGAGGTATGCGCGCTTTTCAGTGACAAGTCAGATGAGACAGGTGTGCTGATTTTCACAGATGGGTCCGTTAAACGAGGACATAAAAGAGCGTTGGCATTAACCGCTCGCTCTTCAGGCAGAACAGCTCAGAACGCCAGCGGTGCCTTCTCCACGACCACCAGCAGCATGACGATGGAGCAGGGTTGCCAGATAAAAAAACTTTATTTTATGCCAAACCATCACCCAAAATATGCCAGAAAATTGCCAAATAAAGTGTAACATTGTACTCACTTCACGTAAAAAGCTCTAGATTGAATTCTTCACTGTCATCCTCACTGGAACCAGTGGAAGATGCAGTATAAACCTTTTCGGATGTAAAATCTTTAAGCATTTTCTCAGATCAAGAAAATCCAGTTGTATTTTGTTTCTTGCGTTTGATTTAGTTGAAGTAACAAGAGAGAATATTCTCTCAACTACAGCATTGCTAACGGGCATTATTAAGCAAGTAAGGGCGAAAGTGGCCAACTCTTTAAATGCCTGGTGTCGAAGTTCGCCTATCCAAAAATCTTTCCTGTTTGTAGGTAGTCCATCCTTCTTAAATGTAACTTCTTCTTTCCAGTTGACAACAGTCAGTTTTCTGTACTGTTCTTCTATAAAACTGATGTTGTTTTCTGCCAGGTGTAAAAATGGTAGCTCTGAAAACTTGTGTCCTTGATATTTGATTTAAAACTGCCAAAGCGCTCAATTTTGACAGATTTTGAAATATATTCTCGGTGGGAAGTCTACACGTAATTTGATTGAGAGCTTCCTCTAGCACAGACATGCATCTTTCATTAACATTGTTTATTTCTATCTGAGCTTCAGTCCCGTTTTTCTTCTGTAGGAACGCATTACATTCCGTTATGAATTTAATACCAAAGTCAACGTGATGAATATTTTTTTCCTGCTCAGTGACGTCATAAGTCTGTTCTTAAGACTTTTCTGGTGCATGGACAATTCTTGGTGTAGTTCATAAGGATCAGCTTTTGTTTGTTGGAAAGACTGTTCAGTCTGTCAAATTCTTGTACAATTGGTGTCGCAAACACGAAGTACAAATAATGATTGTGGTCTAACAGCATTTCCTTTAACAATCTTACTTTATATTTTGTGTCAAACGTTGTCTGTGCTAATTCAGCACATGTGAAATAAGCTTTCAATTCTTCACAGTTCACTAACATATTGAACATAATCTTTTCACGCACAAGCCACCTAGTAGATGACAGTTTCTCAAATGGAAGAGGAGCAGTTCGTTCTGATTCAAACTCCGTAGATGTGTTCATCACTCTAAACAGTTCTTTACAGGCTTCTCATCTTAAATAACTATGACGAAACCACTGAGATATTTCTGACAGTAAGAAACCAATATTTGATGGCAGCTTGGCAATTGCACTACAAATGCAGAGTGCTAGTGAATGGCAGATACATCTGAGCTGCACACAAAAAAGGAGACACATCTTTAATTCTGGACGTTACAGAGTTCTTGCACCCGACCATGTTTGAAGCGCCATCTGACGCAAACCCAATGCAATTTGTAAGACTCTGACCACACCTTTTGATTTCCTTATCAATCAAATTAAATAAGTTTTCTCCTGTAGCCACTTGCAAGGAAATTAAAGCAAGAAATCCAGTAAATATTTCATTTTTCCGGTCACTGAAAAAACTAACTATAATGCACAAGTACTTTTGAGTGGAAACGTCAGCAGACTCATCTATAATGATGGCATATTTCTTGTTCCGAAAATCATTAATAAGGTCATCCTTAAGTGCAGGAGATATAATATTTTTTTTTTATTAAGCATAAACATTTAGTTCTATGCAACTGTGTGTGCTCCAATATACTCACTCCCCTGACCATGAGCTTTCATCATTTCACTTAAATGATCAATTGTGCGTATTGCACAATGGCAGGTCATGCTTTCAGCAAGTTGCAACTCTGCTGTTTTAACTTTATCATTACTTTGCCTAGGAGTTAATGTTGAAATACGCTGTGACTGGCGTTTTGATGGAGTTTTCATCCTGTGTTTTTTGGGATTTTTCATGATTTGAAATGCTACTAATTCTTGGTGCAATAGTGCACTGACACAGTTCACACTATGCTGCCTCTGATCCGTCTGAAGATCTTTTGAGCCATGAGTATGTTTTCCCCCAATTACTATTATACTTGCGATTGCTGTCATAAGATGCTTTCCATTTTTTGGATGACGTGGCCATTGGTAAAAGTAGGCTATCACAGATAGAACTAGGTCTATATCCTATCTATTTTCTGTCCTCGAGTAGTTCTGAACAGTCTGAATCACTTGGTATTAGTGGTGGGTTTTCGTTTTATATCTCACATTTATTCTAGTAAATTAACATAAATTACAGAGGTTTATAGCAGTCACGATCCGTTTAGGAAGACAACAAATACAATAAGAAATGGCGCGAATCTCCGTTAGTCCGTACCAGGACATCACAACAAAGTCAAACTGAAATAAACATTTTAAATGTAGGTTTACATTGCTTTTAGTAAGTCTGCATGTTTCTAACAGAGGAACCATGAAGAAAATGGGAGTAAATCTTGATAAGAAATGCCAGGAAAAACCCAAATATGCCAGAATATGCCAGTTCATTATCTTATGCCAGTTCAATTTCAAATATGCCAGATTTGGGAATCTGGCATAAAAAATGCCAATATGGCAACCCTGCGATGGAGGTGACTGCAGTGACACCGGCTTTTATGTGGCTGGGATCACAGGACTATTCCCGCGTGTGTGTGTGTGCTGAGTGATTCTTTGAGCATGATCCGGCGGGTCGAGGCAGGCTGGTTACGCAGACAGTGGTTTGAATCACTGCAAAAATCCCCTGTGTGTGCAGTTAGTTACCTTCATATCTGTCACAGGGCATGCGGGCGTCGTTGGTAATAAAAGAGCTGATAGACTGGCAGATGCTGCATTAATTGAAGATGACGGACCCATGGATCAAGCAGACATTGGCATTGCCCTAAGAGTGGTAGGACGTTCTGAGGATTTTGGAAGCAACGTGTCCACATCACTGATGAGAACACGAGAATTGGGAGTAAAGATCGGCACAGCCAAGCATGAGAAGCACACCGGACGCACATGAAGTCTTGTCAACCAGCATAAGACTGGCACTATTAACCGCGCGACGCTGATGAATATGTTGAGATGGGAATCTAAGCACTGGAGTGCTGTGAAGATAATCCAGCTCATAACTCAAGTGATGCCTCTATGTGTAGTATCGGTGTGTGCTGTCTGTGTGTATGACGTGTATGTGTACATTTTGTTGCGGTGATTTGTGCATGTGCTGGGTTTGTGTTCTATCTGTGATTGTGTGTGTGCCTGTTTATGTTATATGTGTGAGTCATCAATGTGTGTGTAAAATGTATTGTGTCTCTGTGTATGTTAGCGCGCTTGTGAGCGTCTGTGGTTAACATTATTTTTTTTTCCTTGTAAATTCAAAGCTATGCATTTGTCATCCAAGGCTTTGTATTTTTAATTTTCATTCATATAATGAATTGATATGTGAACATATATGCTTGACACATAGAATGCAACTGCCGTATGAAATATGAATGTTAGAAAGAGTAGACAATTAAGTTCGTTCACTTTGTTTATCCATCTGTCTGTCTGTCTGCCTTTTGTTGAAATGGTCCTTGACTGCGTTAGTTACGTGATTAACGCTTGGAAATAACGTTAACCCGACCAAATATTAACAAGCTGCACAATACATGATGCCATTTGTCTTAAGTGTCTTATCTGTCTGACTGTACATTATTACCTGTCTTATCACACCTCTTATATAATTTATTACCTTCTTATCACACCTCTTATATAATTTATTACATGTCTTATAAAATATCTTAATAACCGATTTATTACTTGACTTGCTACCTTCATGGTATGTCCCTCTTTTGTGTGTGTGCGTGTGTGTTTGTGATATTACGTATAAGATATATGAAAATTATTGTAAAACATGACAATGTGTGTGTAAATGTGATATCACTTTTAATATATATATATATTATATATATATATATATATATATATATATATATATATATATATATATATATATATATATATACAATGCATGTCAAAGGTGGACCCAGCCTCAAATGGGTATCAGGATGGCTGTCCTAGGGAAGTAAAGACGGCCGGCATAATGCTGACAACATTACCCACCTAGTGCCGATTGGTCTGTAAAAATATGGGATGCTCTTCCTGTGTTCCCGATACGCTTAAGACGTGAAAGGGGATTTTTACTTACTTTTTTACTTATATACAATGCATGGTCAGGGGTGTGTATGTGATATCACATGTGGATCCCAGGCCGTGGGTTCAAACCCGAATCAGTGCTGGACCTTTTCAAACATGAATGGCTTCCAGGTCGACCCAGCCTTGAATGGGTACAGGTAAAGTCCTGGGAAGTAAATGTGGCCGGCGCGATGCTGACCACATCACCCTCCCAGTACTGATTGGTTTATAAAACATCGGTGAAGCCATACATGACCAATACAACTGAAGTCGTGGACAACGGTAATCTACTTTATTAAATTTTGCTTGTCTTATTTCTCCCAACAATTATTTTCTCTCCCTTTAACTCTTTCTAACCTTTTCCACTCCTCATTGTCGGCCCATTTTCAAACTCGCTCTCTCATCCTTTCCTCTCTTTGTTCCTCTCTCCCTCTCTCATTTACTACCACGCTTTCTTCTCTCATTTCTCTCCTTCCTTACTCATGTATTCTCCTACCTCATTCAACTCTCTTCCATCCTCTCCTTCTCCCTCACACCCTCTCGATATCAATTTTATATCATCTCCCTCGATCTCTAACCTCCTCTCTCTTCATCTCTTTCTACACCTTCTCCTTTCTCTTTCATTCCCTTTCCCAAAGTTTCTAACTCACTTCTCCTATCTCCCCCCCCCCCCACTTTTTCTCTCTTTTCTTCCATCTCCCTCCTTGCTCTCTCTCTCTCTCTCCTTTAGCTATCACCTTTTCTGCCCCCTCTCTCTACACTCACGCACGCACGTACAGACACACACACACACACACACACACACACACAAACACACAGGTATAAATATATATATATATATATATATATATATATATATATATATATATATATATATATATATATATATATATATATATATATATATATATATACACACACATAGATAGCCAAGACAAATTCCCATATTTTTTTTTTTACGTATCCAGAAACCATGAGTTGTAAACCCTTTGGCTCGGTACTATGGATATCGCAACCCTTCGGCCTTGATTCCATTATAGGTACCGTTAATCTGGGAGAAATGTGGCTTTTCTGCCTAACCCCGGGAGTGAACCCGGACCACAAGGAGTTCGTCACCCGGCCGCCGCGAACGTCAGGTTTAACCAACTTCGCTAGAGAGCCGGGCATCCATATTTTCTTACAAGTACAAGTCTGTCTCTTGATCCAACCTGGCCCTGCTTAATTTCAAGATGTTGGCCAACAATTTCCTGAGTTAAATCAATTAAAATAATCAGGTTCAGCTTGCAAGTCCACCACCAGGATGGGTCAGGACTCATGTAACTTTAGCACTCTGGCCGTGACGTCGACCACGTCAGATCCTGACACGTACACGACCCAGACGGTTTCGACAAGTGAACTTTCGGGGTTATTAAGTTTCAATCGCCAGATTTAGCATCGACTTTCGTTGAAGTCTAAGCAGCCCAGGTTTAACTTTGGCAGCTGGTACTGCTCAAATCTAAACATCGTCTGTTCGACCTTTGTGTCAATGGTTGACGTGAGTGTAATGTAAACGTGCCGGCCATTTTTGGTTAATTGATTCCCCTGTTTATTCGTTTAATATTTTTTTTTTTTCTACACTATTTTCCTTGACTACATTCTGTTTATTTTTATACCTTTACTAATGTACTTGGTACATAAATTTGTGTGTGCTGTATTACTCAAACACACGCACATACACAGAGATTACTGATTTAAGAATGTCATCATAGCACACCAGACATGCGAATGAGAAGAAGAAGAAGAAGAAGAAGAAGAAGCAGAAGAAGAAGAAGAAGAAGAAGAAGAAG